GGGGGGGGGGGGCCCCGGGGGGGGGACGCAAAATCGAAGGTGTGGGAGGTGCTGAGTTTCTTCACCTCTTCAGTATTGTCCAAGAATCCTTTCATCGATGGACAACCTGGATAATGGCGCATCACCGCGCCGAAAGACGCGCATAGACGGTAGACACTGAAACACAAACGAGGGTCGAGCCTCGATTCACGTTCCACGCCATCAAGTGCTTCATCCAATCACCTCTGAGACACATATTTGGTTTGGCCAATAGCGCTTCGACGAAATTGGGGGCACTTCCCACCACACGCGCGTGTTGCGAGAGCAATCAAACCCCGGCCGCTACACTCCCGGCCAGAGGGTGCAAACAACCTACGATACGTATAGATGGTCGAGCTCTGGCACAGAGCCGTCGCAGGTAATTTTTTCGCCACTGCTTCATATCGCTCGGCCAATGGACAGAGAGATGCCGGCGTCTGGCATGGTACGGTAACGTCGTTACCTCCCAATGGGAGAAGGCCAGCTGAGGCGTGGTGCCTGCTCCCGATGTTTTCTTGAGCAGCTCGTCGGCGAACCCGAACGATTCCGCCACTGGCAGCAGCGCAGTCAGCAAAAACAACTGAAAGGGAGATGGAGAAAATACCAGAGGGAGAGTCGCCGCCGAGGGAAAGACGGTGTATGAATGAGAAGCCTGCCGCAACCGTAGCGTTAAGACGAACTGCTTTTTAGCAATAACAACAGCGACCAATAGCAACAGCAACAGCCAGTTTTTTTAGCGAAAAGACAGCGTGGGTACGGGAGTCGCAGCTCGTACTACGGAGCAGCAACGCTGCACTACCGAGGCGCTTGTACTGTTGGACGAGAACACAACAACAACAACAACAACAACAACAACAACAACAACAACAACAGCAACAACAGCAACAACAACAACAACAACCAATTACAGCAATACCAAGAAATAAAAAAATTACCTGTGTGCCTTCCACAAGGTCTTCGTCCACCACTCTCCCCCGCCTCTTCGAGAGCACCGCGTACATGTTGCCCAGCTGCAGCTGATCGCACTGGAGACTGCAGGGTAGTTAGTAATAACAGCACGCACGGCAAGCCGCCCCAGAAACACGTACCGAGTATTGGGGATGAGAGTGAAACTTCGAAATCGGTGTTGGAATCGTCCTCAATGTACGCCAAGGTGAACCTCTGCGTGTGTATATATCTGTCGGGTACACAAGCTTGCCTTTTCGGTTTGTAGAAAACGTTGCAGTGAGCCTTGTCCTATTCGGCATTAGTCCCCCCCTACCCCCCTTCCCTCCGGCTAATCACGAGCGACATGATTAGATACCAACGAACGCGAAGGGCTTACATGCACCGTGGGGTTCATTTTTAACAATTGTTGCGAAGTACATCGCCTACATGAGCGTGGTGCCCTCAGCACGATGGGCCACTGGTATCGTTGGAACAAGTGGTTCAACAACGACATGCGAGGTACGAATCACGTATTTGCGACTTTTCTCAAAAGCCGGATGGATATCTGGCACTCCACACCCATGTAGATGGGCATTCGTAACCTGTTTCGACATTGCTCATCATTGGTCACCTGCAGCGGTAGAACGCCTCGACTAGTCGCACCGGGCAGCAAAGCATGGAAGCCCTGCACCCCATGCGCACGACGGAAATTATCTGCCCCGTCAACGGCCCGTACCGTCTCCGTTGGTCCTGCTGCAGCGGGGGGGGGGCATGACATCAGGGGGAATCGTGATGTCGGGGGTGGGGGGGGGGGGGGAGGGGGGGGGGGG